GAGACCAGCCTGGGCTATGAAGTGAGCTCAAGGCCAACTGAACTGCATACAAGACCCTGTCTCAAAAAAACAATAAATAAATAAATAAATAAATAAGTAAATAAGTAAATAAATAAGAGTAGAACCTTAAAGACAAAGACATAAAGATAAATGTAACGTGGTTTAGAACTTCTTAATGTGATAAAATAAAATTAAAGTTATACATAATTTAAAATTAAAAAGTTTTTTAAAAGTAAAGCAGAAAATAAAACTAGGGCAATTTCCTTAAAATATACAATTTAGGTTTTCTTGCAATTAATATAAACCAACAAGAAATAATATCGAAGGTAAATCCTATTAAATGATTTATGTACATAAAAGGGAAGTTAAATCACATGTAGGTTTGTATGCACATAGAATATTTCTAGAAAAAAATACAAATAGTAGCAGAAGTTGCCTCTATGAAGAGCAACTGAGAGTTTGGAGTACAAAGGCTTTTTTCATTATTTACGTTCTTATATTGTTCAAGATGTTTACTACTCTTTAGTTATTTACTATTACTCTTTGAAAACATCAACACAGTAGGTTCTCATGAAAGTGTATGAGTTAATGGATATAATATACTCAACACAGTATTTAAATATAGCACAGACACATGCATTCACATTAATTTTGTCTTTACAAATCAACACAGCAAAAATGAAAGTGCTCCAAAAAATAGGCCAAGAACATGAAGTACAGTATTAATTAATTAATAAAGTGGACAATAAAAAAGTGGCACGTTTGCAATTTCTCTAGTAATCCAATGCAAATAAAAACAATTTTTTGCTTTTCAGGTTTACAAAATTTAAAACAATTGATAAAACTCCATACCAAGAAGTTGAGGGAGCACCTGCCTGGCAAGCGCAAGGTCCTGAGTTCAATTCCCAGTACCAAAAAAAAGAAAAAAAAGTTAAAGGAGAACAGTTTAATACACTGCTATTGATGCAAATGCTCATCTGCACGTGATCACTGGCTCAACAATTCTGCATCCAGGAATTTAACCTATAGAAATATTTAAGACAATTGGAAGAGAGGTCCTTCCGGTCCTCCTCTCACAGGGTCGGTAAATCTCCCACAACAATAAAATCTTTCTGAAAGGACAGAGTTTAGGGCAACCACACCCACTAGAAAGTGAGAGGGAAATTCCAAAAAGGAAAGTCAGGAAGGAATGCCAGATCTGTGTATAAATCCAGAGCCAACTTTTGGCTGACCCTGAACCACACACAGGGTAGATTCTAAGTTGCTCCACTAAAGCTAAAAAAAAAATGAACTGATAATTTTTGTTGCTACCCACCAAAAGGAAGCCAAAACTTGCAGTTATTTGAGTTCAGCCAATTTAACTACAAAAATACTAACACTCTTCAAAGAAACAACAGAACAGAGACACCCTAAAGCATATCATTTATAATGTGTAAGACAAATTCTAAGGTACTCTAACACAAAAACACAGGAAAACATAATCCATTCTCAAATTTAAAAAAAGAGATAATACCTGACATGTTCTAGATACTGCCATTAGCAGAAAAAAATATTAAAGTAGCCATAATATCTATGTCCAAAGAAAATAATGTTTGTAATAAATTATGTCTGTAATGAAGCGACAGGAAATCTCAACTGATAAATTGTACATTCTAGAAATTAAAAGTGTGAAATTAAGGGGCTGGGGATTTAGCTCAGTGGCAAAAGCACCTGCCTGGCAAGCACAAGGTTGTGAGTTCAATTCCCGGTACCAGAAAAAAAACAAAAACAAAAACAAAAGTGAAATTTAAAACATTAGATAGGAAAAATGAAGATGACAAAAGAAAGAACTGGTGAACCTGTAGATCCAAAAAATTAATGTGCAAAAGAACTGGGAAAACAGAGATAGCTTCAGGCAGCTTAGGATAGTATAAAAAGGTCTAATATATGTCCCTAAACTCCTAGATTAGAAAAGAGAATGATCAGAAAAATATAGTTTAGGAAATACTTCCCAAAGTTAATGAAAAACATAAAGGTATAGTCAGAAGTTCAGCTACCTCCAAACAAGACACATAAAAACAAAACCATACAAAGAACTTCAGTCAAAAATGTGAAAAAATGAAGTAAAGAGAAAATCTTGAAAGCAGCCTGAGCAAAACAATACATGAAATGCAGAGGGAAAATAGTCTGAACTATCACTGACCTCTCATCTTATTCTGGATACAGCTGGTTTCCATGTTAAAGGAGCCCTATGGAAAGGCACACAGGGCAAAGAACTGGGCAGCCAACAGGCAGAAAGGATCTCAAGCGGCCAAAAGTTACCTAAGCAAGTCTGGAAGGAGGCCATTGTGAAAATGCCTACGAGAAATCCTCTTATCACTCTATGTAACATTATACATAGTCCCTGTCGGCCATGAAGAACCTGGCTGGCTGCAATGCAGTATACACACCTATCCATCCTCCTAAAACTTGCCACTTCTTTTAATGAAAATAAAGAACATGGTGGTTTACTGTTTTCAAACAGGTTTCATATGCAAGCTCTTTCCAATTTTGATTCTCCTTACAATATTAAAAGAAAGGTATTAAATGTGTTTTCTCTTTTCAGACAGAATGTTAGTATGGAAGAAATTACGTGAGGTCATTCAGAAAAGTCTCCTGAAGTCATGTGTTTACTGGAAACACTAACTCTACTATACTTTCATTCCGATTTCTGAACCTTTCCTCCTCTCAAAATCCAAAATTTAGGATTTAGAAGGTACATTTAGAACAAGGTGGAAAGTGAGAAACAGTCTCATCTCAAATACTGAATCAGGGGCCTGGGGATTTAGCTCAGCGGCACAGCGCCTGCCTGGCAAGCACAAGGCTGTGAGTTCAATTCCCAGTACTGGGAAAGAAAAAAAAAAAAAAATCAAATACTGAATCAGGGGCCATCTTATGAGAAATATGTAGAAGCCAGATATAATTTAATCACCAAAAATAAAAAAGAATTGGATGTAACACACCCCACTTCCCTTCTTTTACTTTTTCAGACAACAGAATCACAAATAAATCAGCCCTCAGGAAGCAAAGATATTACCAGATTTACATTCTAGTCTATTTCTAACTCTGATTTACCCTGAGGATCCCAGTCAGTCAAGTTCTTCAGCCTTAAAAGATGTGATAGCAACAAATGAGAATGAAAGGGAAAGAGCCAGGCTAAGAGGAGAACAACAACCAAAAAAAGATCCAACATGTTCAGTAAGAGGCTCCACTACAACCTGTACGTCATTTGCTTTCAGTGGTAACTATATCCTACAGTTGGACACAACTTAGTATTTTTTCCAAAGAATTTTCACATTTATTATTGCCAGTCTGTCCTCTTTAATCCCAGGGATGAAGCATGGGACAAAGAAGTAACAGGGTTTATATCTAGATGACCCCCAAAGCCTCACTTACTCGTAGGCAGGGCTTTTGAAAGGTGACTAAACTATGGGAGTAGTAGAGCTAACTTGCTGTGAGGAGACAGGAACTGGTCAGAAGAGGGAGGTCACTGGAGGTGTGACCTGGGAGGGTGTACCCCCCTCCCTCCTTCCTGGCTCTTCCCTCCTTCCTAGAAGCT